CTCCTTGGTATATTGAGCTATCATAGGTTCCAGGGTGCGATTCACCCGTTCGGTCAGATTGGTTTGATGATGGTAAGTTGCTGTAAATTTATTTTGGATCCCCAGGGTTTTACAAATATCGGTAAAAGAAAAGAAAGTTATTATTTCATCTCTCATGCACTTCCTCGTTATTCTATCAATGGCTGCCAATTTTTCGTTCTCTGTTTCCGTTTTTACCTGTAGGCAAACGACGGTAGAACATCAAATTATGGAAGTCATTCAACAATGTGAGGTCAATAACTTTCTCCTGTTGGCGTGCTTGAATATCCTTAAGTAGACTACACGCTTCCCAGAGATTGACGGTGGAATCTAAAAGATTGATTTGATGCTGGGAGTCTGGTTGTGAGGACGAGTGAGAAACGGGATACCGAGATAACCCGTCCGCATTTTCATTAGTTTTGCCAGAGCGATGTTCGATGGTAGGGTCGAAAGCATCGAGTTTCAAGGCCCAACGAGCTAAACGTCCTGTAGAGTCTTTGGAGTTTTTTAACCACTGGAGTGCTTTGCAGTTGGAGCGGACCGTGACATGAACTCCTTCAATATATGGTCGGAAATGCTTGATAGCCCAGACAATCGCTCGAGCTTCCTTTTCCGTTGCTCCGTATTTGCGTTCAGCAGGGGTCAATGTGCGACTCGCATCAGCGATCAGATACTTACGTTGCTCGTACTCCTGAACCAAGATTGCTCCCAAACCGTAATCACAGGCATTCAGTTCAAGAATAAAGGGATGGCAAAAATTAGGTACGTTTATAATCGAGGTATGTGTAAGCTTATTTTTAAGAAGACAAAAAGCAGTTTGACAGGCAGAATCCCAGGAGAAGGAACGAGAGGAAGTTGGACGAGGAGAGGCTCAGCTATTTTGGCGTAATTTTTAATGAAGCGTCTGTATTAACCCGTTAATCCCAAAAAGGACTGCAGGTCCTTGATCTTTTCAGGAGGAGGAAAACGTTGAACCGCGGAAACGAGTGATGCATCAGGCTTTATTCCGTCAGGGGTAATGAGATGTCCTAGATATTTCAGTTCTTTGCGACAAAACTCACATTTGGACGCTTTAAGGGTTAAGTTGACTTCTTTGAGGCGCAAGAAAACAGCCGCGAGGTCTAGGAGATGCTGTTCGAACGTGGGAGAAAAAATGATAATATCGTCAATGTAAACCAGACATGACTGCCATTTTAGACCCGCTAGAACAATGTCCATAAGGCGTTGAAACGTAGCAGGAGCATTGCAAATACCAAAGGGCATAACATTAAACTCAAATAAACCTCAAGGAGTGACAAATGCGGTTTTAGCGCGGCTTTCGGGATCCATTTCAACTTGCCAGTATCCGGAACGCAGATCCAAAGTAGAAACAAACTTGGCTTGCTGCAGTGAATCAAGGGTATCGTCTACCCGGTGAATGGGATATGCATCCTTTACAGTAAGCGCATTAAGTTTGCGATAGTCCACACAAAAACGGAGCGTACTATCCTTTTTGGGGGCAAGAACAACGGGAGCAGCCCATGGGTTAGACGACGATGAGATGACATCATCGTGTAACATGTCGTCAACTGCAGTTGATGCATGAGCTTGTTTAAGTGGAGCCATGCGATAAGGCTGAGAGTTGGTAGGTCTTGCACCAGGATGTGTCTAAATTTGGTGCCGAACGATATGAGTACGGCCGGGGCGGTTGGTAAAGACTGTTGGGAAATGTTGAATTAATTGCTTAAGTTGATGGCGCTGAGAAGATGTTAGGTCGGTGTGTGTAAGATCAGGGACATTATCAGTTTTGACTTGAGGTGTAATAGTACAAGAAGTTTGCGCTAGAATTCCAAGCTGAGCATGATTACAACGTTCCATAGTGGCTAGCTTCTGGCTGGGACTGATCGAAAGTGTAGCAGTGGAAAAGTTGGCCACACTGACCATGAGATCCCGTGAAGGGTGTATTATGCCGTTTGCCACTCGAGGAGAGAGGTGAATAGAGGTGATAAAGTAGGTTTCGTCCGTAGTAAAGGTAGAAAAAGATTTATGGGGTTTAGCCGCGATGAACATGGTATGAAATGGCGGGATACGAGCTGATTGAGCTGCTAAAAGTGTGTAGGTGGCCAAGTTGGAAGTGGATAGTGTAGAGGATGGGACGGAAGAAGCTGGAATCTTGGTATGAGATGAGAGTGGGGCATCCGAAAGGGTGTGTATTTGATTCTGAGATGGGTTTATGACCATTTTATATTTGCGAAAAAAATCGAGACCTAAGACACAAAAATGTTGCAAACCCGGGATAACATATACTGAATGGTGATAGATATCGCCATTGACGTCGTACTTAGTTAATTTAGTAAGAATAGTAAATAGATATAAGCGTAAAGTTAGAAAAAATCGTTATTTAAGAGATTATGAAAACTATAAGTATTGGCAAGCAACTTATATAGATGAGAAAGTTAAATTTGAGCAAGCTAGAAGAGAAAAGAAAATAGCTCACATGAAAGAAGGAAATAATATTTGGTCTCACGTTCGGAATGTGTTTCGACCTTTTACTCCGTCATTCCGAGGTTTAAAAGACGGTGATAAAATAATTAAAAGGAATGAAAACATTGTAAAAAGACTTGCCAAATACTATGAAAAACATTTTTCCGAGCCGAAACACGACGTGACAAATCCTTTTCACTTAGAGTGCTTAGAAGAATATGAAAAGATTAAAAACGAAAATAATATTCCACTGAAAAAGATCCTACGGAGAGAAACAGAAAAACAGTGGAAAAAATTTCAGTCGAAAAAATCATTAGATAGTGCAGATACATCCGCTTTTCTACTAAAACAACTACCAGCAGAATATTTAAATACGATAACAATACTTTTTAACAAATGTGGAGAGAAAGGAGAATTTTTTGAAAAAGGAAAAATAGATAAAGGAATTTTTCTCTCTAAGGACGGCGCTTTTCCAACAGTGGACAGATTGAGACCTATCTCTCTTCTTCCTAAATTAGCTAAGGTTTTTGAGCGTGTAATGGGGTTAGGATAGAAAACTGGTGTAAAGATTAAGGTATTTACGTGGACGAACAATCGGGTTTTACATCAGAACGAAGACTACAGACAAGGATTTTAGGAATTATTGAGGACTTGAGATTGACGGTAGCTGCGTGTAACAGACCAGCACTTGCTATATTTGTGGACTTCGCAACAGCCTTCGACAGA